CATAATATATATTTATATAATTATCAAAAAAATATATGTCATATCGAATAGAATTTAGTTCAACAGAATGCTATTGTAAATTCAAGAATAAAAAAATACTCGAAAAATAAAGCAACATATATAAATATTCAAGAAATTAAGTAGTCATACTCATCATATAAGCAACATACATAGTTATTTATATTATATGCATATTAAAGATTATCTCACTTACCTGGAAAATATAAAACTAAAAAAAATATAAGATGAAAGACCCGAAAATCTTATTGAGGATCATTAGGAGAACCTATAATAATATATAAAATATACTTAAAAACAACCCAAAACAACACAAATAAAAGATCCCAATGCATAAAATAAAATCAGGTTTAGTCTCGTAAGTTTAAGGACTAAAACGATAATTTTACAAAATAGAAACCAAAATGTAATTTTATCAAAATTAGAGGATCTAACTATAAATACATAACCATAGTGAAATTTCACCCACAAACCATCCTCAATTCTGTCTAGAACTAATCAGGAATCAAACTATAATTTTCATAAAGTTCAAGGACTAAAATATAAATTTCTAAAATTGAGGGACCAAACTAAAAATATCCCAAATCAATTATCCTTAACCTCATAATAACACTTTCCAAAGTCTAAAAATACATTTAGGGGTCAAATGATAATTCTTACAAAGTGCAAGGACTAAACTGTAATTTTTATAAATGAATGACCAAAATAAAATTTCATCATCTTCGACCTCAAAACCATCTTGTCCAGATTTTCCTATAAGGTTGGAATGAATTTCTTAATCCATAAAAATCAATTTAAACAAAACAACTCATAAATCTTTATTTCTAACAATATACTAATCAATCACCTTACATTAAACCCGTAACAATCATAAATCAATCTTAACAACATAAACTTCAAATCTTTATAATCCTAATCTCTTCTTTAATCATTCCATAAACCAACTATAATCAAAAGTAATATGAAAAAGAAACACTTACTTGCTACCTCTACAAAAACTCAAGATCAAAAACTAAAATTTTTAGTTTGATGAGGGCAGGGTCTCGATGGCCACTAGAATTAGAAGAGAGAAAAAAAGTAATTCTCTTGTAACTTTTTCTTATATAATCAGGTTAACTTAGGTTGAGTTTTGACTGACTTGAACTTGAATTTTGACTAAAAGTTTGGGTCTTACAAATGATATATTTGCTAGACTTAAGTTAACGTGAGTTAAGCATGCTTACCAGACCTAAATTTCTGGCTTACCAGGCACCTGACCTGGTTTTTTATGTTCTTTTTATATTTTTTTTAAAATAATGTATTATTTATGTATATTTTTTTCAAATAAATTTTTTATTTATAGTTAGATAGGTATGATTCATCTGTGGTTTTTTCTTAATTTTATATAGAGTAAATTTTTTTTAATATTGATTTTTTTATAAGATTTTTCATACGTGTAACCTTGCATTATTTTTTTTATAATTATTGTTCAATAAATTTTATATCCGTTTCGGTTTCTGTTACAAATTTTATATGTTTTTCTATTATAAATTTATTTTGGTAGAGAAATTAATTAAATATGACCTAGTAAATTATCTGTGTTACGATGTGAGATATCTTGATCTTCAATTTTTGCTTAGTTGTCTCAATTTTATTTTTATTCATTATTGATTTTTTTTCATTACCTTACATAATGGTTATTTATTGGGTTATTTAATTAGATGCGTGCATATATTCTTTTATTAGCTCCTAAGAATTTTTTTTTTGTAATATATATATATATATATATATATATATATATGCAGAATCTGGTGGAGGAAACTATTTGACTAATACTTGCCCAAAAAAATTTAAAGACTTTAGATGACTTTAGGTTGCTTTTTTCGGGGAAAAGTTTACCTTTTAAAACGAGTGTTTGAGGTATATATTATATTTATTTTATATATTGGGTCTAGATATGTAGATGAACATATAAAATATTTGTGCAGATGCTTAACTAAGTTATTAAGATCCTTACAGCAATAACTAATAAGAAGTTGACAAACATTTATTACTTTTTACTTGCAAATAATTCTTGAGATTTCACTTCTTCTTTAAAAGTTAAATTTTTATATATTTTTTTTATCTATCATGCCACCTTTTTATTTTGAAATGCTTAAATAATATTTATTTTAAATTGATGTTCTTCTATATTTTTTTTTAATTTGATTCTTATATGAAATTCAAGTAACTTAAATAATTTTTTTTACATATTACTTATTTATTGCTCAAAATTTAAATTATATATTTTTTTTAATGTTACCGGCATTTAACTGCATGTTTAATGCTATCAACTTTTAATTATAAATTTAAAATATTTTTTTAAATTCAATAATATTAGGTTTCTCTCTCTGAGTTAAATTCAAGAATTTTAAGTATCTTGCTCCAATATCTAGGGTTAACAGTGTCTATAGCTAGTCTTGCCTTGACCTAGTGCCTCAGGTTTGATGGTCTTGTCATGCCCTAATAAAATCTAAACTAACAATTTTATCTTCAATTATTTTTTTAATGTCAAATGCATTCCATGAAAAAGACAATTTCACCCCTCCTCATTTCATGCTTCGCAAGTTTGATTGACAAAGACAACTCCATTATTATTTTACTTTAATTTATAGTAATTTTTGTATAAATAAACGGTTAAAGAGATACTAAGTCCTTTTAATATATCGTATAATGTTCTATATAAATTTGTGAAATCTTGTGGGGTGTGGTAGAATAGTTTTTTAAATATTTATATAATAAAATCATATGAGTATTTTAAAATGGTTTGGAGGTTCTTGTTATATATTGTTTTAAAATGATTGAAATGTTTGGTATCTTTTTTATTTTGCATAGTTACATTATTCCGAGGTCTTTTATAACTATTTTAATTTAGTGAATTTTAAATTTCAAAGTTAAATATTAAATTTAATGTTAACGATTTTAACTATGGATAATGATCTTACAACTCCATACTTGCAATTTCACACTCATAACAATGTTTTAAATTTTTTATATTCTTTTAATATTTGGAAAACAAATTAAAACTTGTGTAGTAATCAAATAATTTGAATATAAAAAATAACATAACAGGTCAAGATTAATGAACTTAGATTTATTAGATGATTTTTTAATTAATTACAAACACACACTGAAAATTCCCTGATAGAATATATATATTAATAATAAAAATTGCAAGCTTACCTATTATCACCTATAAAATATAAGTCTAAAAGTTATTTGCCTACAAATTAAATATTTATTGATTATAGCTAATGTGATTATAAGTCTATTGATAAATAAATTTTGAAGATTATAAGAACTTAGTTCAATTGCATAGCAAATATAATTGATTTGTGTTCCTCCATCCTCGATATTTATGTAGGGAATATTATAGATAACCATTTATTAACTATTCATTCTTTACATTACTTCATAATTTGAGGATATATAATTGAAATTGCCTAACTTCACTTGCAAATTTTTTTACAAGATTAGATCTTTTTTTTTTGGTATTCTTTTTTGTATTAGTCCAAACTTTATAATCCACTAGGCTTAGCCCATAAAAAAAATATTCTGTAACTTATTTTCATCTAGCTTAGACTTTATTTAAAAAAAAAACTTATAAATACTAAATTAATTAATAAGAAAAAGTAATGATTTCCCCTACATTTAGGGAAGCATCGAGCATATCGAGAGATAGGTGGAGAGGAAATACAATTATTTCATGGAATGTAACCTTTTTGTTTTTATATTTTAAAAGCGTTTTAAAAATAATTTAAATTTTATTTTATTTTTTATTTGCTTTAAATTAATATTTTTTTTAGTATTTTTGTATTATTTTTGGTATCAAAAATATTTTTTTAAAAAAAAAATTATTTTAATATATTTTAAAATGAAAATCACTTTAAAAAACAACGACAACCACACTCCCAAAAAGTATGATAATTTAATTTTAATTTGATGAATGTAAACTTGAACGAACTTATTTAAATATTTGATTATTTAATTTTTATTTTATTTGATAAATAATATATCAAGTATATATATTGTTAAATTTGATCAAAACATGTGTGTGTGAGCGCGTGCGCGTGTGGGTGTGTTTGTGTAAGATATTTATGTTTTTTAATACAATCTAATTCCATTTTCTAATATTGACATAATATGTATATCATTTATAATTATATATACACACACTACCATTTTTTGTATCTATCTTTTTTATTTTATGTTAAATAAGAAATAGAACTCATATATTAAATATTTGAATGAATATTGAGACATGATAGATAAGATATAAATATTTAAATTTATATCTAATAAATAATAAATTAGCTATAAAAACTCGATTCATAAGTTAACACCTAACTACACCCAAAGTTGATGGATGTCCAAAGTTGATGGACGTGGATTTCATTATTATTTAGGTCATGAGTTGGGGTTTTATATGCATCTATTATTAGATAGCATTGATTACTATTTCAAGACTAGAAAAATAAAAACAACGAGTACATAAAAAACATGTTTTTTTATGTATTTCTTGTTTTGAAATTACATAAGTTCAATATCTTTAGCTTTTCAACTAAAAATATTATATATATATTTGATTAAGTATGCTATTTTTCAATAAAAAAGTGACCAGTGCTGCTTTTTTAAAAAAAAATTAGGAAATTGCTATTTTGAAATATCATCCCAAAAGATCAGTGCGTATCCCTTAAATATTATTTAAATATGTTTATTGTATTTCATTTATTGTTAGATTGTGATATAAAAAAGGCACAAAAAAAATGAAAGAATAAATTGTAATGATCACATCTGTTGTATGTAGAATGATAATATTTGTAAATATTTATAATAAATTATGCAAGTAAACAAAAAAAAAAACCCTTGATGTAAATCATCAAATGACTCTTGCTAAGTACCCTAGAGACGCTCTTCAGTGAGATGAAGACATGTAGTCACCTGTGAGTTACCGTAGGTTTCTAATTGGGAACATGCATTTTTATACCAAGGCTAAATCCCTCTGTGAGGTTTTCATGTGTATGCACAGAGCGTTTACGATAAATGTATTTCTCTGGGATTCCCCTGGGATTTAAACTCTGGATGATGATATGCGGAGCCAATCCATTCACTACATAAAAAAAAAGTCCAATAAATATGATCTGGGGTTTACAGATTGTGATCAGATAATTGCCTTTGCATGGATTCATTTATTTACGAGACATGTACAGAAATTAATCAACTTGTTTTATCACATAATTAATCATATCTCTTTTAACTATCGTTTTCCTTTATCACGCTTCTTCTATCATCACATCATTCTCACCTAGCAAACTAGCGTTGGCGGTGGTACCTTGTCGATTTTTCTCCAGTCAAAGCTGACCTAGGAGACATCAGGACCATCTTCTTGATCTGGTGCAGCATCATTTGACAAAACCAAAGCAGAAACATCTACCATACCATTAGAGCCATCTTCTACATCCGGTAAAACATCATCTAACAGGACTGGAGCAAGAAAATCATGTTCATCATCATCTTCATCTTCTGGAAAATCAGACTGATCAAGATCCTGCATGTGTACATGTTCAACATTGCCCTGTGGCTGCACAATCTCAAAATGGTGCTCTGGTTCATGCTGCTGATTAAATCGGCCTGGGATGTAGGAGGGATTGTTGTGGCATGCTTCACACACATCAAACCCTATTTCCTCCCAACAGTCTTTGCATTTGTACCTTTCCCCAATTATCTGCAACATCTGTCATGAAAGTTCAAAGCTTTTGAATTCGTTTTTCTACCATAACAAAAATGACATGCTAGACTAGTTTGCATTAGCTGTGTTGTAAAAATAACTGAACTACCCAAGTGTACTTGATGTACTTTCGATAAATATTTACCGACTTTTCTTGAATAAAGCAACATAACCACATTTTAGGATGACAGTAACATTCACATCGCAGCCTAAGTAAAAAATCCACATTACTCTAATAAGAATAACATGTCTAGCAAGAGATTTTCAAAAAGGGAATTCATTGTTGTTGAGTAATTGATGAGAATAAGCACAATAATAGGCACAGAAAGGGAAAGTAAGGGATGTTCCAAGGATAGATACAGTAACAAGTAAGAAGATGTCATCCCAATTATGAGAACGCATTCAACAGAAGTGTCAAGCCTTCTAAAGGAAATCATGCATCTGAGATTGAATCTTGTTCATACATATATAAACTACTTTTGCAATCATCAAACACGATAGACAAAGGGAATTAAAAATTAACATTACCCCACAAGAATCATTTTTAAAAATTAACATTACCCCACAAGAATCACACCCAACTCCAATGTGAACCTTTGGTCCATTGCCAAATATCCATGGTGAATAAACCTTAGAAGGTACTGGTGATGACCGTGGAGCTAGTTGTTGAGCTTGTGTTGAACCTGAAGTCAAGATACATTCAGCGCAAAAAGAACACATAAATATGAAAATTGCAACATGACAACTTATAAGAAAGTGAACAAATTCAAGAAGGAACACCAACCAACACATGCTCACGCAAACAAGTTGTCCGGCACACAATGCGTGAGGACCCAAAACAAAATCTGCATGTGTGCATGAATTATTTGAAAATTATATGGATTGGATAGAAGCCCATTGACAATGTGGGAAAAATCTGAAAATGGTAGGGTTAGACTTGTTGTGAAGTCAATTGGCTTCAATTACTCCTTATCTTTCCTAATTGACTGACATGTACTGTTGTACAGAAGTATAGATGCGATAAACTATTTTTCTCTTAAGATTTCTGTCTACTGTGAACGCACACATCATGTGTCCAAATGTGAGAGGAAAATAAGTGACAAATCAAAGAAAGAAACAGAACGAAGTTCTTTGTCAGAATGCCAAAGCAATACCAATCTAGGAGAAAACTGAGAAGAAGAAAGGCTGAGACAATTTGAACAGACAACCCCATTTGCTCTTAATTTCTTTTTCCATATTTCTCATTTTATCTAGTGAGCCTATCATCACTATCAAATGAAAACTTTCAGGAATTTTTTCCTTCTTCGGTCTCTATTAAGAGGTTGATTTGCTTAAGTTTTACCTCACACAAGAGTGATGTAGCTTAATAGAAAAATTTATATTTCGGTAAAGTTACTTTAATAATTCATTTGGGAATGAAGCCCAGACACTAACAAGAGCAAATGACAAGATACAAGTTCAAGGTTTTGATACTGACAAGTTAAAGTTGGGGCAAACCTTCTCGTCTCCCTGCATAAATTTCAGAAAAGTGCTCCTCCAAAAAATTCTCTAGAACGAAACAAACACCCGGGAACCCATTTGGATGCGAACTTTGACAAAACTGACACCTAGGAATTCCTTGCATGGGGTTGGTGATACAAGATTCACAATACACTGCACAGAGAAGATATTAGATTAAGTACTTGACAATAATGTTTCTCTTTCTTCTGTTTTAGCTGGGTAAATGCAGTTTATTAGAGATTACCATGGCCACAATTAAGAACCACTGGTCGAAACAGTAGTTTCTTGCATTCAGCACACAGCAAGTCAGCAACAGAGGCCTTTTGAATTCCATGTTCAAGCCCTGTCCTAATCAAGTTGCAACTTTTGATGGCTGCATTCGCAGTGCCTTCAGATATTATTAGGGTGTGGTTGGTGTTGCGGTAGATGTTATGGTTGTGATTTGCCTCTGGAACATTCCCTAAAGAAAAACAACTACCGAACCCAATTTGGTTTTTGGATGGGTGGGTAGACGTAGAGAATTGCTTGGGACATCTAGCTCTTCACCAGGAAGTGATCCAGATGAATCATGACCAAACTATGGTGAGAAAAGGCCAAATTTCTTTGCTTCTTCTGCACAGCCAAATAAGAAAATATTGCATCAATCTGTTTCAAATGACATTAACATTCATAATATTAATATAAGTCAAACCACTAAGAGGTTCAACATAGTGGTGGAGCTATTAAGGGATGCACACGAGAGTGATCAATGAAATGTCCAAGGTTCCTAATAAAATGAAAGGGAATGTCCAAGGAGCAATTGCAAAGGGGCAAGGAGATGCAACCCTCAAAAATCTGTTCCCATCAAAATTTAAATTATCACTGCAAATTGTCTTCACAGATTTAATACTTTAAGTTCTACAAGTGTAACTGACATTCCAAAGTGTCTGTTTCTATTCCTTTCAACCACTAAGAAGCAAGAACAAATGCAACTACGCACTACCAGGCAACACCACTTTGCACATATAGGAAAATTATAACTAAATTCACTTGCCATTGGAGCACTGAAACAAAGAAATGACACAGCAAAAGAAGAAACTTTTCATTCTGTTTTCTCTTTCTTTAGCAAAATGAAGAGATGTCTCATATTGAAAAAAGAAATGGTAAATTCTATATCTACACTGCATCAAAGTGGGAGACAGAGAGAAAGCAGACCAGTTTGGGGAGGGGAGCAGGTAATGGTTCAAACATACAATTGGTTCAAACATACAATTTACCAAAAAACTTTACAACAATGACAAGACCATTTATAGAGTTTTTGCAAATAATGAAAACAACTGCATCTACTATTCTTAAACATAATCATTAGTTTTTTCCCTTCAATAACACATGCAGAATCAATCCACATGTCCAGCCAAAACAAACAATTTGGTTTCACTCTCTGCAGCTCTTTCTCAGCCAAGTTTGGCTCAGAATTGCACAGCAAGTACAAGAATTAGTGTCATAGCAAAAAGATGTTTGCTGTAATGGTGGCTCTCCTCTAGAAACAAATGGCTGCATTTTTAGTGCTTGCTCACATTCTTGATCAGCTAGTTGTAAATAGCTCTAGATCAAAAACAGCCAAGCTAGTAAATCAAAATTAGAAATCCATGCAGCAAAAAGAAAAAAAAAAGTGCTGTAATGGTGGCTCTCCTCTAGAAACAAATGGCTGCATTTTTAGTGCTTGCTCACATTCTTGATCAGCTAGTTGTAAATAGCTCTAGATCAAAAACAGCCAAGCTAGTAAATCAAATTATAAATCCATGCAGCAAAAAGAAAAAAAAAGGATATCAAAGATATTTACCTTCCACTTCTCCTTCCCTTGTCTTATAGGCTATAGGGCAAATCTTCATAAGTAAGAAATCCAGCAATTGACACACACGTGGGAAGTGATTAAATGGGTGCCGACAAATTGGACAGTGTGACTTGCGAAAGCCATTCATGCAACGAAATACACACCAGAAGCATGAAATGTGGCCACATGCTACCAAAAAAAAGGAGAAAAAGGAAGGATTTGTAAATATAAGATTACAAGCACCCAGTATAAAAAATTGAAAGTTTTGCCTCCTTACCTAAAACAACTGGCTTGTAAAGTAGGTCCCTGTAAAATAAAGGAAACTCCCTTTAAACATGTCATACACTAGAGAAAAATTGATTGAGATATTGCTTAATTAACAACTATCAGGGGTCAAGTCTGCAAAGCTGTAATTTTGGTCATTAACATAAGCCTTCTGTTTCTACATTCAAACATAGGAAACAATACATGGTGCCCAAAAGATCCAGGTATGGATAGTCTGCATGACTCTAGAACTTCAGATTAACTGTTCATTTGCTTTTTCAACCACAAATGCCAAAATATTATCAATATTATAAACAAGCATTGATTAGTATAAAAAATGCATAAAGGACTCATAATTCTATATTTTTTTCCGAGTAAACTTGCTAATTTTATACACACGAAGTTTCTACAAATGATCGCTCTTATCATTAGAGGAAGCTGGACATGTACATTATGCCCAAAAGCTTCCGGAAATCACTCCATTTTAATCTGATTTCATGTTCCAAAAATGAAATACTTGAATGTATATTGTCAGTCACGGCATCATCAGTGCAGTGTAACTCACACAATGTTGATTAAATTTCAAAAAATGATCTTGACAGCCCAGTTTCTTTAAATGACGAATCAGGACAAGCAGACACAAATTCAATGCCAGTCATGTTACTGCTGAATTTGTTTTCGGATCATTTAAGATGCACAAGTGAGTAATTCTATAAACAATCATAAGCGTTAATTCCATCGAATTCTACATTTACATTGCTAACTTTGCATAATTACCAAGGTTCAAGGCCATGTATAGCGAGACACCATACAACTAACTTGTTACCATAGAAATTACAGAAGCTAAATCCAAATTAAAAACAAAGGAACTCCATCGTACTTTGTCCCTTATCATAAATTTTAAACGGTAAAGCTCCATAAAATCTTAACTATGCATCTTTTAAGCATACATTAGAAATCCAATACAATTAACGAACTATTGAAGCACAAAGGTGAAACACAAAATCAAAACAAACATGAAAAATGTTGCAATATGACCCTTTTTTTTCCTTATTGTCTAGCAAATTGGGTCAAGCTATTGTTCTATTAAACATTGAAAAGTTGGTTTCTTTTTGGCACATTACAGTAAATTATAACTTCGTTCCTTTTTTCTCCTTTACTATTTAACAGAAAACAAAACACTTTTACCAAAACTAATTAAACGGCAACAGAAGGAAGCTCTAAGCATTACAAAAGGGTTAATGTCAACATGGAAAAGCATGGCTCAATCAACTTTAAATAAATTGAATTCTACACAAAAAAAGGTGGCAATTAAAGACTTACAGGCAAACAGGGCACTGAAACTGACCAAGGAAATCCTCTTCTTCTTCATGGTCATTGCCTTCTTCCCTTTGGTGATGATGTTTTGGAGATGGAATTTCATAGTTATTATCGTTTTGGCATTGCATTGTTTATTCTTCTGTTGATGGGATTTTGTTGTTTTCTTGATTTTCCATATTTCTCAATTTAAAGAGACGGAGAGACAGAAAGCATAAAAGGAGACACGTGTAAGAGGATGTGTCATTCTTTATAAACCTAGCTATGAGTTGTGCTCTGCGTATCTTGGGTGGCTTTCCTTGTAAAAGAAACGGAAGGGATAAGGGAAAGACAACCCATGTCAGGTGTCAATTGGCAAGGAAACGAATTCAAGGCTTCATCCCCAAGTCGCTTGAGTAGTGGTCAATCTATGGATGGCTTGGTTGGGTGGTTATATATATACATTCTGTATATAGGTTTTTTCAGGGTTGGTTATTCATTATCTTTTTGTTAGACTCCATTTTTTTTCCGCGCACTGTAATATGGGATATGTCAAAAAAAAATTCAAGTATAAAAAATATATTTAGATGGTGATTAATTTGTAATTTGGATAGTCTAAAATGAGAAACAAAAAAATAGAAGGTTTAAAGCCTAATAAAACTAATTTTCAATACTAACATTGAAAAACATCAATTTAAAAAAATATATGAGAAAAAAATACAAGTTAACCCGGGTATATTTTATTAACACACCATCCGGAACATGAGATTAAGATAAGAAAATATTTTTTTTAAATAACCTAGAAAAAAAATTAAAATTAAATAAATAAAAAAAACCCTGAGTCATCCAGGATTAACCTAACAAACTTGTGACCCTAGATAATTATATAGAAAGAAAAAATATAAAAAAAATAAAAAGTTCAAGACTCAATAGTTTAATGTCAAAGGATAAAATAAAAAAGAAACATCAAAGTTAAATTGGACTAATATTTAAAACCAACAACCTTGGTCATAAGACCGAAATGACATTACAAAAAAAAACAAAACTTGAACAAAACTTTTAATCATAAAAAAATAGTAATTAAAACAACGAGAATTAAATCCCGTATAAAAAATAATGAAAGAAAAAAAAAGAGAATCAATCAAAAAAAAAAAAAAGAAATTAAAAGAATGACTACCAAAATTGGATAAAAAAGTAAATGAAATAAAATGTTAGATAATAAAATTAAAATAAAATATAAATTAAGAAAAGGTAAATAAAAAAATGAGAATTAAATCTAAAAAAAATGTTGAGGGAAAAAATTGAAAGAAAAAACAAATTAAAAAAATAATCAAAAAAATGAGTATAATATTTGATATAAAAACTAAACAAAATTAAATAAAAAAAATAAAATTAAAAAAGAATCTGAAATAAATAAATATCTATCAAGAGAAAGATGAGCATGGTTGAAAGATAAAATAAATGGAAGGACAATCTTGATTTTTAGTTGACCTGACATGAATTTCGAGAAGATGAGAGAGAAAACAATAGGAGAAAAAACTCAACCGCCATTGAACCGTCATGATTTAAGCAATGCACTGCCCCAATAGTTTCGCCTTCATTGGACATTTTGAAAGAGATAACGATTGGAAAATTCTAGTTGTTGTACGATGTTGCATATATGGTCTAAAAAGCATATACAACGTCCACCCACTAGTGCATGCATTGTACTGACAAATAATTTTTTTTCTTTTTCTTTTTATTTATAAAAAATATTAATTTGCTTCCAAATTCAAATAGAGTATAAAAAACTATAAAAAAATATTAAAATATTCTTTGACTCGTCTATTAATTTTCTTGACTCTAAAAACAATAAAGTAACTATACTTTTTGTGAAAAATAGAAATTACACGAAACCCCTTTTTAGACCTTTTGTTTTAGTAAGGGCATCTACGCAATTCAAACATGAAAAAAAAATTAACTATTAAATTATTTCCAATCAATTTACAAATAACTTTTAATTCCCTATAAAATATCATTTTACTATGCTAGTAAGGCAAAAAATTAAAAATTTGTATAGAGAAGGACATAATAGTAGTTACACTATATAAATTCACAGTCAATTATCTCATAATCTACATCAAAACACCAATCCTTTTTAAAGTTTTTTTTTTAATATATTCATGTTGTACTAAAAATCAATTTTTTTAACATAAAAAATAATTAGGTATTACTAATATTTTTTCTTGTATAAAAAAAACTTAAACTATATGAGAGTTAATTTAATTTGACATGATTGATTTAGGAGGTTCATAGATAATTTGAAAGATTTATTAAACATGGTTGGATTTCAAAAAAAAAAACATTTTTAAAAAAATATTAAGAAGAATATATTGGATAAATTCGGGTTAATCTACCAAATCGGCAATTTAAGTCATAAAACCATCATAAACACATATAAAAAAATATCAAAATAAATTATAAAATCAAATCCTTAATCAACTCAATGTTAAATAATAAAATAAAAAATAAAAAAATAGTAAATAAAAAAAATTAATGAATCAACCTAAATTAACTTACTAAACTTATAACATAACTTTATATGAAAAAAATAAAATAAATTATGAAGTTTAATTTCTAATAGACTCAATATTGAATTATGATATTGAAAAAAAATTATTAAAAAAATATGAGTTAACCTAAATTAATTTTTTAAACTCATGGTACATAAAAAAATTAAAATAAAAAATCTAATAAATCCAATATTAAAAAATAAAAAAACTTAAATTAAAAAAAACCTCTGTTTTAGTGATAAATTAATAATATCACAATGGTAAATTCAATTTTATTCTGATTTCGGGCAAGCAATCCATCGAAGATGGTTTCCTAGCATGTGAAATTCTACCGGTACACACATATTTGTTTCGGATAAAGGGTAAGAAGATTTGAATTCAAGCACATACAAATAATTATTTTTATTGAGTTGACATCGAATTTTTTAGGAGTAGCCTGGGGCCTCATCGTTGCAGACAAATATCACCTCTGTTTTATTTTATTTTATTTTATTATTATC